GGGGAAGTGTCCCTGCCCCGGGAAGGGGGTTGGGACTGGATGACATTTAACGTCCATTCCAACCCAAACCATTCCATGATTCATTCATCAAGACCAGGTTGGATGGGACTTGGAGCAACCTGGTCTAGTGGAAGATGTCCCTCCTCATTGCAGGGGGTGGAACTAGATGATCTTTAAGCTCCTTCCAATCCAGCCCAACCCATTCCATGATTCCACAATGCCTTTAAGGCTCTCAGATGGTCTCTAAGGACCATTCCAAGCCCTTAGCACACTCTGACACTATGGATGTCCACCTTGGGGGTCCTAATGGGGCTGTCCCTTGGTAGTACCCCCAGGAGGAAGCCATGGGGCCACGGATCCCAGCGCAGATTCGGGTGCAGCTCTGGTTTGGACTCGCAGTGGATGAGAAGGAATTCAACCAGTATGCCGAGGGGAAACTCTCTGTCTTTGCCGAGACTGTGAGCAATTCCAAGGGTCTCCATCCTGGGATTCCCCACTCCCTGGGGTGGGAAGCAGCTCCACGATGGAGGGCAGGGAATGGCCTGGTGAGGACAGGGACATCAATCCTTAAAAGCTCTGAGAAGAAGGAGCTGTTTCCTTTCCCATGCAGCCTGGAAGGTTGAGGACCAAGTTGGGAATGAGCCACAAAGCCACATTGTCCCTTCACATCTCCACTAGCTGCTGGGAGGGAATCCATGGGGGTGTCCATGGGGTGAGGGATGGGGTTGGGCTTAGTCCATGTCCCTGTCCACCATGGAGGGCAGGGAGTGCTCTGCACCATGCTGAGAACAGATCATATAAATCCCTATAAACTCCAAGAAGAAGGAGCTGTTTCCATGCCCATCCAGCCAGGAAGGCTGAGGAGCAAGTTGGAATTAGACACAAAGCTATATTGTCCCTTCACATCTCCAGCAGCTGCTGGGAGGGAATCCACGGGGTGAGGGATGGGGTTGGGCTTAGTCCTTGTCCCTGTCCTTGTGCTTTCCCTTATCCCTGTCCTGTCTCTGTCCTTGTCCACCATGGATGGGAGGGAATGGGCTGGACCACAGAGAGTACAGGTCACATCAATGCCTAAAAGCTCTGAGAAGAAGGAGCTGTTTCCATGCCCATGCAGCCTGGAAGGCTGAGGAGCAAGTTGGAATGAGCCACAAAGCCACATTGTCTCTTAACATCTCCACCAGCTGCTGGGTGGGAATCCATGGGGATGAGGGATGGGGTTGGGCTTCTCCCAGGAGGTTTCTCCTCAGGATAAAGCTCTGCATGGATTCCCCATGGGATTCTGAAGGATCATCAGTGGGATTTGGTGTCTCTAACCTCAAACCCTCTTTGCTTTTGGTCCACCAGTATGAGAACCAGACCAAGCTGGCACTGGTGGGCAACTGGGGCACCACTGGCCTGACCTATCCCAAGTATTCTGATGTTACTGGCAAGATCAAACTGCCTAAGGACAGCTTCAGGCCCTCCACGGGATGGACCTGGGCTGGAGACTGGTTCATCTGCCCAGAGAAGACGTGAGTGATAGATTTCTGCCCCAGAGCAGAGGTTGGTGGAGTGTCTTAGGCACCCCAAAGGCATGAGCCAAGGTGGCGGTAAGGTCACCCATGGAGGTCAGGGGTGCCATTGGGGGTTCCTCACTGCACTCATGGATATGATGTGGACTCATAGACTCTCATCCAGGTCTTGGGGTGCTCCAAGGTACCCCAAAGACCTGAGCAGGTGCCAAGCTGTTGGAAAGGTCACCAATGGAGGTTCAAGAGGTGCTCCAAGGCACCCCAAGAATGGTGCTCCAAGGCACCCCAAAGACCTGAGGAGGTGCCAAGCTGGTGGCAAGGTCACCCATAGAGGTCTGGGGTACTATTGAGCTTTCTCACTGCAGTCATGGATGTGATGTGGACTCATGGAGGTTTTAGGGTGCTCCAAGACACCCCAAGCACCTGAGCAGGTGCCAAACTGGTGCCAAGGTCACCCGTGGAGGTCTAGGGTGCCAAGGGGATTCCTCACTGCACTTGTGGATGTGATGGGGACTCATAGGCCTTCATCCAGGTCTCGGAGTCCTTCAAGACACCCCAAAAGCCTGAGAGGATGCCAAGCAGGTCCCAAGGTCACACATAGAGGTCTGGGGTGGTGTAGAGGTTCCTCACTGCACTCATGGATGTGATGTGGACTCATGGAGGTGTTTGGGAGCTCCAGGGCTGAGGAGCTTTGGAGTTGGGTCCCCAGTGGGTCCCTGTGGGGTGGGAGAGATGTTCATCCTGGTTTGCTCTTCACCTGAGCCAAAACCTGAGACCTTTGCTTGGATCCTCAGGTGGATGAGGTTCAGGAGTGATGGGGGTAGCCCAAGACCATGCTGCTTCTCAGGAGAGCAGGATGGGGATCTCCTGATATGGGAATGTCCTGACGGCACAGGTTGCTGCATGATGTGGACTCAGGACACCTGAGCTTTGTGGAGGAGGTGTTTGAGAACCAGGTCCGTCTCCCTGGAGGACAGTGGATCCACATGACTGAGCCCTACACTGATGTGGTAAGGGCCAAGAGGACATCCAGGGGCTCAGCACCACTCCAGGCTGAAAGCTCTCAGGAGGTTAGGTGGGATTTAGGGATCTGCTGGGCATCCTTTTGTTGAAAACACCTCTGTCCCTCACAGAATGGGGAGAAGGTCCTGCCTAAGGAGGAGATTGAATGTACTGCAGGTTGGAAGTGGGAAGATGTGGAGTGGGACATAGACCTCAACAGAGCTGTGGATGAGAAAGGTACCAGGAGGCAGTTTGGGGGGTTCTGTTTTGTCTCCTCTGTTCTGGCCATTGTGGTGTTTCCATCCACGGTGGCACCAGGATGAGAACATTCCTATCCTGGTCACCCATGGAGTTCTGGGGTGCTATGGGGTTTCCTTGTCTGCACTCATGGACATACTGTGGACTCATGGACCTGCATGGAGGTCTTGAGGTGCCTAGGGGCACGCCAAAGACCAGAGAAGGTGTCAATTTGGAGCCTCATCCAAGTCTTGGAGTGCTTTAAGGTGCCCCGAAGATATGAGCAGGTGCCAAGCTGGTGGCAAGGTCAGCTGTGGAGGTCTAGAGTGCCATGGGGGTTCCTCACTGCACCCATGGACATGATGTGCCCATGTGAGCTGTCCTGCTGGGTCAGGAGAAGGGGGTCAGGCCCCCCTTCTGGGGGGCCATCTCCCCTTGCCCTGGGTGGAGCTGTGGGGTAAGAATTCACAAAGGCTCTCCTGGCTGCTGGGATAGTCCATGGAGATCTTCCCTGGCTCCTGGTGGAGAATATCAGGCCAAGAGGGTATCTGAGATGGTCACAAGAGATGGGGTAGCCCAAGGGAGGAAGGAGAGAGAGTCCCCAAGCTGTGACTCTGTGCCGGGGCAGGTGGGACACCATGGATCCACCACCTGGACATCCCAGAGGGACATCTCCACTGGGACATGGCATGGGTGGGGTGGCCTAAGAAAGTACAGAGAGACCCCAAGCTGGGACCTGGAGCCAAGGGCAGATGGGACATCATGGATCCACCACCTGGACATCCCAGAGGGACATCTCCATTGGCTCATGGCACAGGAGAACCATCAAATCATCTGGACACACCTTCTCTGTTGAAGGTCCCTGGTGGGTGACAAGGTGAAAAGCTGTTCTCCCACCTTAAGTCAGGTGTCTCCTCCTCTTCAAGGCTGGGAGTATGGCATCACCATCCCACCAGACCGCAAGCCCAAGGCCTGGGTGCCAGCTGAGAAGATGTATCACACCAACCGGCGCCGACGCTGGGTGCGGCTCCGACGAAGGGACCTGGCACAGATGGAGGCAATGAGGAAGGTGGGACAGGCCTGGAGGAGGTCACAGGGGGTTGGGAACATGTCCTTGGACAACCAGATGTCCTTGGGATGGGATTGCCCACCTGGGCTGGTGGGAGGTATCCTTGAGAGTGAAACTGGATGATTTTTAAGGTCCCTTCCAATCTGACCCATTCCATGATGACTTCAAGGCTCTTTTCCATCCTCACCTCGATGCCGTTGGAGATATTTTCCAACCTCAATGTTTCTGTGCTCCTCCAAATGATTCCATTACTCTATTCCATGATTCCAAGCTGGCAAGACCCAGGGAGGACACAGGGTGGGACAACTATCTGGCAGCACCCTGAAGAACCTGACCCCAGCTTTGGGTTGTCATCACCTAGACAACCCTTGGCACAGGCCCTTGGCTGTGCCATTATCACCTGCACTGGTGCCATGGGGTGGTGAGATCAACTTCTCCTGACCCTGGTGTGTCCCTATCCATCAGCACAAGCAGGAGGATATGGATGGAGAAGGTTGGGAATATGCTTCCCTCTTTGGCTGGCGCTTCCACCTCAAACAGCGCCGCACGGATGCCTTCCGCCGCCGGCGCTGGAGACGCAGGATGGAACCCCTGGAGCTCACTGGAGCTGCTGCTGTCTTTGCCTTGGAAGGAGCTCTGGTAGGTGCCACCTTCTCCCTTCCCAAGTTTCTTGCTGAGAAGTTGGGAAGTGCATCAAAAGGAGTGTGGCAGGATATCCAAGGAGGTGGTTCTCATCCTCTACTCTGCTCTGGTGAGCAATCCCCAAGGTGCTCTACACACTGGTGATGTCCCAACTGGCAGTTGGTCTCCATGTCCCACCTACCCTCATCCAGGGATGCTTCATTGCCACCCCTCCAGCCTTCCATCCTGATCATGGAGGTCCTACCCCTGGGTCAGGGCAATCCCAGACACACCTATAAGATGGTGGAGAAGTCATTGAGACCGTAGACAGGTTGCCTCAAGGAGGTTGTGGTGGTCCTTAAGGAGGTTGTGGACAGAATGCAAGGAAAGGGAAGAGCCATGGTCAAGATCATGGCCAAGGTTGACAGCGACTGGAAGATAAGGACAATGGAGCTGGGAAGGGTATGGAGCACAAGGAGGGCCTCAGGGAGCTGTGGGGGGGCAGCCTGGAGAAAAGGAGGCTCAGGTGGGACCTTCTTGCTCTCCACAACTCCCTGACAGGAGGTTGGAGCCAGGTGGGGGTTGGGCTCTGCTCCCAGGGGACAAGTGACAGGAGGAAATAACCTGAAGTTGCACCAGGAGAGATTCAGGTTGGACATCAGGAGGGATTTCTCCATGGAAAGGGCTGTCAGGCATTGGAAGGGGCTGCCCAGCAGGTTGTGGAGTCACCATTCCCGTGGGGCTTAACAGCCATGTGGATATGGCACTTGAGGACACCTCAGTGCTGAGGGGGTGGTTGGACTTGATGGTCTCAAAGGCCTTTTCCCACCTAAATTCTGTGGTTCTAAGGAGCACCAGAAGTCCAAACTCCTGGTGGACACCCATGTGGATAAGGACCTCATCCCATGGGAGGTCCTGACCTCACCTCACTTTGTCTTGCAGGGAGGAGTGACAGATGACAAGAGTGATGATGGCAAATCTATGTCCACCCTCAGTTTTGGTGTCAACCGACCAACCATCTCCTGCATCTTTGACTGTAAGACCTCAAGGCTCAAAGAGGGAGAGGGATGCATTCCTAACCTCTTCCATTGGCTCACCTGGAGAGCAGGTGGATGGAGGAAGGGTGGAAGTGATGGATAGGACATGATTGTCCCTGTGGAACATCAACATCCTCAGGGCTTGGTGCTTGAGAAGCCACAGGAGGGATTAAGCCAAGTTGCCCTCAGACATGAGCTTGGAGGAGTTGGAAACCCTCCCTGACCTCATCCCCTTTCTGGTTCTCTTCCCTCTGGCAGGTGGGAACAGGTACCACCTCCGCTGCTACCTGTACCAGGCACGAGACCTCATGGCCATGGACAAGGACAGCTTCTCAGGTGGGCCCAGATTCTCCTGGGATGAACTCTGGGGGTTGTGGTGGGTCTGAGAAGAAAATCTGGGGCATTTATGGGTGTGAAATGGGAGGTGTTTGGTAGCCAAGCAGTGAAGACAGTGGGATGAGGCATCCAGGTGTGTGTGGGATGTTCCTGGGAGCTCCAGCACTGCCAGGACACCTTTGGATCCCACTTGAGCTCTCAGGGGTGTGTGTGATGTTCCTGGGACCTGCATCCAGGTGTGTGTGGGGTGTTCCATCACCTCTGGAACAGGCAGGACACCTTTGGATCTCAGATGAGCTCCCAGAGGTGTGTGAGGACCTCCTGGAACCTTCATCCTGGTGTGTGTGGAGCCTTAGATCACCTCCAGCTCTCAGGCTGAGCCTCTCCAGCTGGATAAGGAGATGGTTTAGGGTTGGCTTGGTGAAAACCAGAGGACCCCCAAGGTGTCAATGCGAGTGGGCTGGGCTGGACACCTCCTTCTCTCCTCATGCAGCACCTGGGGGACCTCAGGAGGAGATAGATGGAGCTGGGAGGTGCAAAACTCCATGAGGAACTGGTCCTTGGTGCAGTTTGGAGTCCTTACCAGTGGGATCTAGAGGGTCAGGAGCTTCAATTCACCCCCTGCCTCTTGTCTCTCATCCCTTGCAGATCCTTATGCCATTGTCTCCTTCCTCCACCAAAGCCAGAAGACAGTGGTGGTCAAGAACACCCTCAACCCCATGTGGGACCAGACCCTCATCTTCTATGAGATTGAGATCTTTGGGGACCCTCAGAAGGTGTCTGAGTCTCCTCCCAACGTTGTGGTGGAGATATATGACCATGACACCTACGTAAGTGTGAGCTGAATCTTCATGGTGGGACTGAGCTGGGCTGGATAGGATGGACATGTGGCAGCGTTCCTGCCCTCTGGAATGCTATGGTTGGGCACCTCTGGGTGGCTCAGATATGGGGTTGGACACGCAGGAGACAAGAGCTCAGCAGATAGACCTGATTGTGATGTCCTTGGGGACCTGCTCATGGCGTCCTTGGGGACGTTCTTGAGTCACCATCATGTAGAGTGGCCAAATGACCCATACTTCCTCATGGAAAAAGCTTGGGATGAGGTTTAAAGCAGTGATGGAAGTAGAGAACATACTTTGCTCTTTGCATTCCAAGGCACTTTGGATCCAAGGGGATCCAAAGTGCCTTGGAATGATAGAATTTGGGGGGTTGGTGACAAGAACTTGAGTCCTTCCCAGAAAAAACTGGGCTGAAGCCTGTCCCAGGAGCAGGAGGGGTTTAAAACACTTGGAATACATCTCAGGAAGGCCTCGAAGCCTTTCTGCCTTCCCTCCTCTTCCTCCTCCCTATCAGGAAGCAGCAAAGGCAACTGAAGACTCCATCTCAGAGCTCCTGCTCTGGAAATCCTGTGGAACCACAGGAATTTCACCTCCTCTTTAATCACAAATTCCTTAAAAAGTGCGTTTCCAGCCCTTAGAATCCCAGGGATTACTCTGACAACTTGAGCCTACGTGGACATCAAACCCGTTGGCTTTTCCTGCCTGGTCCTGTAAAGATTCATCCCTTGATTCTGATTTCTGAGGAGGTCTTGGCTGGGCTATGGGTGTATGGTGATGGATCCCACCGGGAAGAGGGATGGGAATAAAGCTCCTGTGGTTGCTTTGCAGGGAGCAGATGAGTTCATGGGACGCTGCATCTGCAGGCCCAGCCTGGAACGTTCCCCACGGCTCTCCTGGCATCCCATCCTCAAGGCCAACAGGAATGTGGGGGAGCTGCTGGCTGCCTTTGAGCTCATCCAGAGGGAGAAGGTGAGATTCTCATCCAGGCCTGATTCCACCTTTGGAATGCTAACTTTCCCCTTCGGAGTATCTCCACACCCAGTGGGATCCAGCCTTGGGTTGTGTCCACCTGAGGTCAGAGCTCAGAGCCTTTGAACTGTGGGAAGATCCTGATGGATTTGGTCCTTTTTGAGGAAGAATTTCATAGGCTGGGACTCTCCAGCTTGGAAAGGAGATGGTTTAGAATTGACATAATGGAAATCTGCAGGATCCAACCAGGATCCAACCTTTGCCATGTCCTGGGTCATGTCCACCTGAGCTCAGAGTCTTTGAACCATGGGAAAATCCTGATGGATTTGGCCCTTTTGGAGGAAGAATTCCATAGGTTGGGACTCTCCAGCTTGGAAAGGAGATGGTTTAGGGCTGACATGATGGAAACCTGCAGGATCCAACCAGGTGTTAGTGCAGGTGGGGAGGGGTGGATGGTTTCCTCTCTAGTCATGCAAGGCCTGGAGGACTATGGAAGGAGATAGAGGGATCAAAAATCCATGAGGAATTCTGCCTTTGGCTTGGAATCAGTTTCTGGAGGGGGTTTGAGAGAGCTGAAGCTTTTCCACAGCCTGTGACACCTCTGTTCCAGGGAAAACTGGACTTGAAGGCTCAATACCTCCATTCCATTCCTCCTTCCCAGCCCTGAGGTGGAACTGGGAATGGGAATCCCACAGCTCCCTCCTCCCTGGAAGTCCCAGCAGCTGTGCTGGGACAATCCTGAGGGTGCAGGGTGAGGTCCAGGGGTGTCCTTGCTGCCAGGACCCCAAATCCTTGGCACACGACCTCTTCTTCCTCCTCACTACTGGGTAGGGGAGACCTTGGAAGGGGATTTTCTCCCAGAGGACCTGTTTGATCCTAGCAGGAAGCATCCAGGTGCATTTGGGGCTCTGTTGGTGCCTCCTGGTCAGAGCAAAGACCTTCCCTCATGCCCAGGATTTCTAGAGCTGGGAATGGAGAGGGGAAACGTGGCTGAAGTTTCCTGCTGGATAAAGCTGAGTTGCCACAAGGAATGCTGATGGAATTGTGTTTTCCTTTCACAGCCTGCTATCCATCACATCCCAGGATTTGAGGTAATGACTGTGTCCTGCTTGGAACTCCTCCAAACCATCCCCTCCCCTGTCCCCGTGGAGCTCCAGCACCATCCTCTGCTCCCCCAGAACTTTGAAAGGACCTGTTGGAGTTCCTCTCCCAGTAATGTGTCCATCCTGTCCTAGGGAATTGCTTTGGAATAAAGGAATACCCAGGGAGAGATTCCAGTGTCCTTCAGCTGATAAAGTTGGAGGGAGTGGGACAACTCACTTTTGACCCATAGGACAGGGCAGATGGAGCCTAGTCCAGAGTTCAGAGGAGGCTGTGGAGATGCTCCAAGGGCTGGAGTCAGGCTGGGAGAGCTGGGAATGGCCAGCCTGGAGAAGAGAAGATTCAGGGAGAGCTCAGAGCTCCTTCCAGTGCCTAAAGGGCTCCTAGAGAGCTGCAGAGGGACAAGGCATGGAGGGACAGGACAAGGGGGAATGGCTTCACCCTGGAAATGTGGAGATTTGGGTGGGATATTGGGAAGGAATTCCTGTGTGTGAAGGTGGTGAGGGTCTGGGATGGAATTCGCAGAGCAGCTGTGTCTGCTCCATCTCTGGAAGTGTTTCAGGCCAGGCTGGATGGGGCTTGGAGCCACCTGGGCTGGTGGGAGGTGTCCCTGAATAGGACTGGATGGATTTTCAGGTATTTTCCAAGCAAACCATTCTATGACTCTATTCACTTATCAACATCAGCCTTAGGATGTGCTTAGGGATGAGAATTCCTCTAATGGTGTCCTCTCCTCTCTCCCCCAGAGCGACCTTTCCTCCAGCCTGGATGAGGTGAGTCTGTTGGATTTAGCTTCTTTTCCTCTTGGAAATGGTTAAGATTTGTCTCCTGGAGCAGTTGTTGCTCTCCAGATGGGTCAAACCAGGAGCACCAGGATTTTGGGATCATGGGTGACCACCAGCAGGACAGTGGGGTCCATATTGAACCCAGAGGGGGTTCCCCATGCCAGGTCATGTTGGGTAAGACCACCTCTGAGGGATATGTGTCCATGGGGTGTTCCACCATTCCAATCCAAAGAGATTGGAATGCTGGGCTGACTCTTGGCTGGACCTCAACTGAAATCCCAGCTGGAAACTTGCCATGGGGAATTTGGCATGAGTTGAGGATCTCCTGGAATGTTCCACTGTGTTCCTGGTATGGGATAGAGGTGACTCTATCCCTTCCTTCCTCTCCTCATCCCTCTGCAGAGCTTCCACCTTGCTCCTGGTATCGGATGCAGGTGGTTCCATCCTATCCTTCTCATCCCTCTGGATAACTCCCAATGTGTTCCTGGTGTGGGATAGAAGTGGTTCCGTCCCTTCCTTCTTCTCCTCATCTCGCTGGATAACTCCCACCGTATTCTTGGTGTGGGATAGAGGTAGCTCCATCCCTTCCTTCCCTAGAAGAGGCCCAACCTTGCTGAAGGGCTGAAGGGCAGATCCCATTCCCCTTGGAATAGCTCAGGGATTTCTCTCAGGAGATGTTTGGTCACATTAAAGGGAGAAAAGCACATTCCAAGTACCTTCACCTCTCAGCTCTCATCTCCTGGACTTCCAGAGGGAGCTGAGTTTGGCAGAGAGAAGATGACTCCGGAGGGATCCCTCATGAGGACAGGGTTGGTGTCCCATCCTGGCATGACCCAATGTGTCTTTTGCCTCTCTCCTCCACAGTCTGGAGACTCTGACCTACCCTACCCTCCACCCCAGCGGGAGCCCAACATCTACATGGTCCCACAGGGCATCAAACCTGTCCTACAGCGCACGGCCATTGAGGTAAGTGGTGGGTGAGGGACAGGAGGACACCCCAAACCTCTGTCCCTCAAGGGATGAGTCCCAGAAATCGGATCCAAGCCACACTCTGTGCATGGGGAATTCCACCAGTGCTGGAAGACTGGAGAAAAGGAGGCTCAGGAGGACCTTCTGGCTCTCTACACCTCCTGACAGGAGGGTGTACATAGGTTCGGGTTTAAATCTGCTCCCAGGGAACAAGGGACAGGAGGGACACCACGGAGATGCCACCAGCACTGTCCTGATGCTGACCCAGACGAAGGGAATGGAGCTGGGAAGGGTCTGGAGAACTTCTGAGGGAGCTGTGGGGGCTCAGCCTGGAGAAAAGGGGCTCAGGTGGGACCTTCTGCTCCCCACAACTCCCTGACAGGAGGTGCAGCCAGGAAGGGTTGGGCTCTGCTCCCAGGAATAAGAGACAGGAGAGAATGGCATCAGGGTGCTCCAGGGGAGGTTCAGGTTGGACATCAGGAGGGATTTCCTCATGGATTTCCTTCAGGCATTGGAACTGCCCTGGGATATGGTGGAGTCACCATCCTTGGAGTTGTCCACAGACTGACTGGTGTTCTGGTCTGGTTGAGAAGGCAGTGACGGGTCACAGGTTGGACTCGATGGCCTTGGAGGGCTTTTCCAACCTCAGTGACTCTGGGGTTCTGTGCACACCTGTTTCCTCCCACCACTGGTTGTCCTGCATGCTTGATGTATCTCTCCTTCATGCTCGCCAAACTTAGGGTTCCCCTCAATTGCTGAGAAGCTCAGTGAGAGACCCTGAGGCAAACTTTTGGCTCATTCTGTGTTGCCTGTCCCTTCTCCATACAGATCCTGGCCTGGGGGCTGAGGAACCTCAAGAGCTACCAGCTGGCCAGTGTCACCTCTCCCAGCCTGCTGGTGGAGTGTGGGGGGCAGCTGGTGCAGTCCTGTGTCATCAGGAATGTCAAGAAGAACCCCAACTTTGATGTCTGTGTGCTCTTCATGGAAGTGGTGAGGTCCCTGCACAGATGGGGTCAGAGCAGAGCTGGTTGGGAAGGTCCTGGAGGTTTCATAGTATGTTAAGGGGTTGGAATGGACCTTAGAGATCATCTGGTCCCAACCCCCTGCCCTGGACAGGGACACCTCCCACCAGACCAGGTTTCTCAAGGCTTTATCCAACCTGGCTTTGAACACTGCTGGGGTTGGGGCATCCACAGCCTCCCTGGGCAACCTGTGCCAGTGTCTCACCACCCTCACAGACTAAGAACAGTGATACAAGGAATTAATTTAGCATTACTGCAGTGATCATTTCAGCCAAGTGCTTCTCTTACCTCTCAATGATCGATGAACACTATAGACTCAGTGGCTGGCTTATGTGTTTGAAAACATTTCATCAGCAGTGCATGTATTTTACCAGAAACTGTTTTGGCTTATCTCGTTGTGGTTTTACCCTTGACCATAATGTAAGTATTGATATTCTTTTGTTTTCTTCATTTGTACCTGACTTCTGCTGAGTATAATATTCTCAGTGTATCTTCTATTGTCAGGCAGGTAAGTGGGTTTAATTCACTGAGAAATAAAATTATTTCCTCTATTCTTTGAAAATTAGAAGATGTAATATGTTAAGCCTCTCTGACTACAATATCTTGATGGACATAAAGTGTTACGGTACCACCTACTGGAAATAGTGAGTATTCTTTCTGTCCATCCATATCCTCCCTGGGGCAACCACATCCTCCCTGGAGCAACCAGTTCCATGTCCGTCTGATGTTAAGGACACCAGAACTGTGTGCAGCACTGCAGGTGGCGCCTCACCAGAGCAGAGGTGCCATAAAAGATCAATCTTTAGGTGAAGGACCTCAAAGTGCCCTGAAAACGTGTCTTACGGTGAAGCTAATTCTCTCCTTCGTCCTTCTCATGGTGGTGCAGATCTTCTGCTGTCCCTGCACGGTGTGATCACCTCTTCCCTGCCCTCTGCCCACAGCGTTTGCCCAAGGAGAGCCTCTACAGTCCTCCCATCATCATCAAGATCATTGACAACAGACCCTTTGGCCGAAGGCCTGTGGTGGGACAGTGCACCATCCGCTCACTGGAGGACTTCTACTGTGACCCCTACCACGAGGAGACAGGTGGAACCCAGGAACACACAGGTATCTGCTGGCTGCACACCTGGGACCTTCAGGGCAGCCCAGAATGGGTTGGGTTGGAAGGACCTGAAAGATTTTAAAGGGTGTGGGAGAGGTTGGAATCATGGGCATGAAGTTTGGGTGGTATGAAGGCTCTGGGAGAGGCTGGGGTCATGGACATGAGGTTTGGCTGTTCGGATGGCTCTGGGAGGGTTTGGGATCATGGGCATGAGGGTGTGAAGGCTCTGTGAGAGGACATCACTCCTGGAGGTTGATCCCAAGGTGTCTCAGTGTTGGGTTCTCTGACCTCTGGGTGTCTTGGTGATTCTGGTGCATGTTCTGGTTGCAGATGATGTGAGCCTCACGCCCAGGGATGATGTCCTCATTGACATCGATGACAGAGAGCCTCTGATTCCTGTCCAGGTATGGAAAACCATGGGATCAGTGGGAAGACACTGGATTGTTTGTGTGCCATGGGGGAACTTGTGAAGGTAGAAGGTAGAGTGATACCAATGTGAGGTCATGTCTGGTTCTAACCTGCTCTTTGGAGCTTCCATGTGTGTTTCCAGCACCTCTTCTCCACCTGCACAACAACAAAGTCTTCCCCATCCATCCATCCATCCATCCATCCATCCATCCATCCATCCATCCATCACACGGTTTGGTGTGAGGGACCACACTGCCTTTTCTGAGGGAAACAACATGTTCTCCCTGCTCCTCCCATGGATGACTGGACCAAAGGATCACTTTGTCCTCATCAGAAATTAGGGAAAACAAAGAGAGGTGAAATCCCTCAGCTCCAAGGCTAGTGCTATCTATCTCATCCAAGTGGAATGAGAAGTTCAACATGAGTTTAAATCAAGTTTAGGAGCACATGCACCACATCTTGGTCACCAACATGGAGAAAAACCACCTAAACTCCCTAGGAAAGCAATTTTCCTGGGATAATCCCTTCTAGTTGCACATGGAATTGGTTTTGGAAGGGCTGAGCACATGCAAGAGGCTGCTGGATCAACTCTTGTCCCACTTGCTGTGCACCTCGTTTTCTCCCTGGGGTCATCCCTATGGGAAGTACATCCATGGAAGGAAGGACATCCATGAGGTCCATTTGCAGCCCTAAGGGATGAGCAGGTGTTTGTCCTTCTGCTCCTTGATAAATCAACCACGGAAGAGTCATTTCCAGCAGCCTCCAAGAGCCATGAGGGTGTCCTGGTTGAAACTGATCCTCAGGACAGGCCTTGGATCCAAGGAAAACCTTGTGGAGCAGCTGGAAATTGGGTGTTTTCAGCTTGGCCCAAGGTGTGGTGGAGCTCTGGGTCCATGAGGTTGGAACCAGCCCAAGCTGGTGAGCATGGAAAGCATCTTGGCCTTGGCCTGATGCCCAAACCCACTTGGTTTGGAGGGAAAACATCTCCTTCCCCCCTCTTTTCCATGCCAAAGGGATCAACCCTGGCAAACCAAGAGCAGAGCTGCTGCTTGGTGCCCAGGGAAGTGGTGGCAGCTCCTGAGGACAACCTCTTGACCTTGACCTTGACCTTAGTCCTGAGCAATCCCAATTCCCTTCTACCTAAAATCGCTCTGGCTCAGATCCCTCCTTGGATCCTGGGAGGAACATGGCTCACTATATTTCCAGCCCTCAGTGTCCTTGGAGATGTTCTCCTCCACTGAGGATATTAACAGCTTCTCCATGGTATTTTCCCCTTTAATTCCCCATTTATCCTCTCTAACCGTTCAACCTATCTCCAGGACATCCATGAATCCCAACCCTTCCCATGCCCAGGACATCCATGAAAACCCAAACCCATGAGGTTTCCTCATCCTGGAACACCTCAACCTCCTTCCCAGAGGAGAAAAAGGTGGATTTGCTAGGATTTATGTGGATTAATTCCATCAATTTCTCCCTGATTTTGCTTTTCCTGGTGTGTGTTTAACATTGTGCCTCTAATTCCATGGATAATGGGTCATCTTAATTTGTAGCTTGCCGAGGGCATGACGAGCTCAGCACTAATTAACATCCCAACATCGCTGCCTCATGTAGGTATTTGCTTTATTACCAACCTAATTGCTTAATTAATGACTTAATTAATGATTTATGTGCATGGACTTATTGAATGAGAAAATTCCTTCTGGGAAACATCTCCTTTGATGCTTGGAAAAGTAGCAATTCTATCTTGGGGCCGGTCAGGAATGGGTTGTCCTTCATGCCAAAGGGGTTGAGGTTGGGTTGGGAGGGATCCTGCATCCAGCTGAGAGTCCTGAGCACAAGAGGTCATGGAGCTCTTGGAGCAGGTCCAGACAAGGCTCCAAGGTGCTTAGAGGGATGGAGCTCCTCTGCCATGAAGCCAGGCTGGGAGAGCTGGGAATGTCCAGCCTGGAGAAGAGAAGCTCCAGGGAGACCTCAGAGCACCTTCCAGTGCCTAAAGGGGCTCCAGGAGAGCTGAGAGGGACTAGGGACAAGGCATGGAGGGACAGGACACAGGCATGGCTTCACTCTGGAAAGGTGGGGGTTTAAGTGGGATATTGGAGAGGAATTCCTGGCTGTGAGGGTGAATGAGGGGCTGGGAAGGAATTCCCAGAGCAGCTGTGGCTGCTTCATCCCTGGAAGTGTTCCAGGCCAGGTTGGATGGGACTTGGAGCCACCTGGGCTGGTGGGAGGTGTCCCTGGGTGGGACTGGGTGGGATTTAAGTTCCTTCCAACCCAACCCATTCTATGGTTCGTGGGCATCTCCCTAAGGAGAGAAGCTCACATGGAACCTTCAGACACCTCTGAGCTATTGAACTGCAGGAGGAGGCTCCATGGTCCCTGGAAAAGCTCTACAAGGAGCTTTCTCTGCAGTTACTCACACCTTACTTATGCTTTTGTCTCCCTGGAGGGGGTTTTGGCTGCCTGGACTTGATTTTGCCTATACTGAGGTGATTTTGGGTGCCTAGATGGGATTTTGGCTATCCCAAGGTGATCTAGGCTCTCCTGAGGTGATATTTGGCTGCCTGGAGCTGATTTTGGCTATCCCAAGGTGATTTTGACTATCTGTAGGTGATTTTAGCTACCTGAAGGTATTTTTTGGCTGCCTGAAGGTGATTTTGGCTCCCTGGAACTGATTTTGGCAATCCTGAGGTGATTTTGGCTAATAGGAAGTGATTTGCTTATCCCAAGCTGATTTTGTCTATCCTGAGGATCACCTTTTGGCTACCTGGGTGGGATTTTGGGTACCTTGAGGAGATTTTGGCTACTTGAAGGTAATTTTTTGCTCTCCTGAGGTGATTTTGGCTATCAGGAAGTGATTTATCCTTACACCAAGGCAATTTTTGCTATTCTGAGGTGATTTGGAATGCCTAGATGGAATTTTGGGTACCTCAAGGTGATTTTGGGTACCTTGAGTGGATTTTGGCTATCCCAAGGTGATTTTGGCTATCTGAAGTGATTTTGGCTACCTGGATGGGATTTTGGCTCCCTGGAGGTGATTTTGGCTCTCCCAAGGTGCTTTTGTCCCTCCCCAGGTTTATCCCTGCACTCCCTCACTCCAGCCTGTTCTGTGGTGTCTTGATCCCTTTCCCATTTCCCAAAGGATCCCCATTCCAGCCCTTCCCTTCCCATTTTTCCATCTTTTTTTTAACCAATATCACTTGGAATCAGCTAAAACCTCTAACTCTACTCTTTCTCCTGAGGCTGCAGAAGATCCCATGGGTAAGTCCCTGCATGAATCCAAGAGCTTCCCTTAGATCCCATTGGAATTCCATAACAAGCACACTGTGATCCCAGTGGATCACAGGAAACAAGGTATGAAAGGCAAACTTGGATTTTCCAATAAAAACCAGGTAGCAACCAAGGCCTTGAAGTTAATTCCTGTTATATTTCCATTAAATCCAATGTTTTTCCAAGGATTTCATTCCTGCCACATTGGCTTCTCATATAAACCCAACCAACCTCTGCTCTGAACCTTCCAGGAGGTCAGAGTTGGAGTCTGGGACCAAAATGAAGGCCACATTATTTTGTGGGAGTCTTTCATGGATTCCTATTGAAAACTCAAGGATGGAGTTGTTGGAAAATCCATGTTTTCCTCTGAGAGCAGCAGCCTTAGAGCTGGAATGGTTTGTACAGGGAATGAGGCAACTAGTGGTGCTGGATATGATGTGCGAGCTGAGGGTGGGTGGGATTTTCCCAGGGTTTTCCTTAATATCCCAAGAAACTAGGTCCGTCTGGAGATCTGTGCACCATCACTTTAGTGGAAATATATGGATTTATTCATTGATCCATGGGTTTTATTTGGATTGGGATGCTGAATGGAGCTTGGACCCAAACCACTAAGCCATTCCCCATCCCCAAATCCCAAATACTTCCAGAAAAAGCCTAAAATTGGAGTCATTTCAGGCTGTCAGGACCAGAGTGAATTCCTACACCAAAATCCTGGGAAAACCACTCTCCAAATACCCAAAATATCTCTAAAAATGCTTCAGGATTCTTCCTGGAAGCTTAACCTCATCATTCCATGGAGAATCATCCCCTCAGGGGATGATCCATGGTATGGAGGTCACTGCCACACCTGGATTTGGTCTTGGAGCATCCCCAAACCCCCTGGAAACTAGGGAAGGAGGAGCTGCAGTTCACCTCTGGAAATCCTAGGAGCTGCTGCTGCTGCTGTTTTCCTTGGGATTTGCTCCTGGAATGAGTAACGCTGGGATCTCTTGGAGCAGGAGGAAGAGTTCATTGACTGGTGGAGCAAGTTCTATGCTTCCACGGGAGAGAGGGAAAAGTGTGGATGTTACTTGGAGAGAGGATTTGACACCCTCAAGGTATGTGGCCTCAATCCGTGATTTTTTTGGGGGAATTTTAAGGCTTATTTCCCTTCCAGGTTAAAAAATGGGATCATTTTCCACACAGAACATTTGGTTTCATTTAAAAACCAATCAGTTTAAACCCTCAATTTTCTTGGAAAAAATCCTGTCTGGGAATTTTGCAGCCTTCAAGGAATTATCCCTTTGGAAGTGGGAGAGGAGATGGGGAATTGCCACCCCGGGAAGGGTTTGGAAATAACAAGGTAAAACAAGGATTGATCAGGGAGGTTTGGGCAACCTGAGACAAGAAATAGGAATAAAATGGGGATAGATATTTCCTGGTCTAAAGGAAAATATTCCCAAGAGCTAAAATGGGGAAGCTTTCCAGGTCTTCCAGAAAGCATTCCTAGCAGGATCAAATTGGGCTCAACCCAGAAAGTCTCATGATCCTAAGGAAAACATTTTCAGGGCTAAAATGAGGAAGACCTTTCCTGGTTTTCAGGAAAAGATTCTCAGTAGGATCAAATGGGGCTAAAATGGAGATTTCCTGGTCCAAAGGAAAACATTCCCAGGGCTATAATGGGGAGGAGCTTTCCCGATCTTAAGGAAACATTACCAGAGCTAAAATGGCGCTAGGCCTTTCCTGGAATGAAGGAAAACATTCCCAGCAGGAAGATCTCCAATGGAAAACCCTCCATGAGACCTTGACTTCACCTGGGTCTTTGTCTTGGGCCATTTATTTATTGTAGGGTTGTCACATCCTTGTCATCACTGTCCTGGAAGACCCCCAAGGGTGGCAGATCCCAGGAACATGTCCCTGTGGGTTGTATTCCCTGAGGATTGAGGAGTTTGGGTGTTGTCAGAGCAATTCCTCCATGCCCTCTCCCTCTTCAGGTGTATGAGATGGAGCTGGAGAATGTGGAGGACTTCGAGCACCTCTCAGATTTCTGCCACACCTTCAGGCTCTACCGAGGGAGGGCACAGGACTCCAGCGACGACCCATCCGTGGTGGGCGAGTTCAAGGTGGGACGGGCTGTCTCCAGCTGTATCCTGCCCAGGGCAGGGCTGGGGGAATCAGATGGGATTTAAGGTACTTCTGACCCAAACCATTCCATGATTCCTAAGATTGTAGAAGTTGTGGCTGCTGGGAGTGTTCCAGGCCAGGTTGGATGGGGCTTGGAGCAACCTGGGTTGCTGGGAGGTGTGCTGGGTGGGACTGGGTGGGATTTAAAGTCCTTTCAACCCAAACCATTCCATGGTTCTGTTCCACTCCCCAGAGGGTTGTTCCAGCCCTGCTGAGAGCTGCCCATGGAGGTGTCCAAGCATCCCTGAACTACTCTGTCCTTCCCAGGGTTCCTTCAAGATCTATCCTCTCCCCGATGACCCACGGGTCCCACTGCCTCCTCGGCAGTTCCACCAGCTCCCGGCCAGAGGCCCTCAGGAATGTCTCCTCAGGGTCTACATCATCAGAGCCTTCGACCTCCAGCCCAAGGACTCCAATGGAAAGGTATCCAATGGGAACACTCCGGTGGAGCTCATGGAGAGGGACTTGGGACAAGGCACAGAGTGACAGGACAAGGGGGAATGACTTCACCCTGGAAAAGTGGAGATTTGGGTGGGATATTGGGAAGGAGCTCCTGGCTGGGAGAGCAATGAGGGGCTGGGATGTAATTCCCAGAGAAGCTGTGCCTGCTCCATCCCTGGAAATGTTCCAGGCCAGGTTGGATGGGGCTTGGAGCCAACTGGGCTGGTGGGAGGTGTGTCCCTGGGTGGGACTGGATGGGATTTAAGGTCCTCCCAACCCAACCCATTCCACGTGCTTCTCTCTCCTGCACTGATTTCCATGTCCATACTCAGTGTGATCCCTACGTGAAGATTTCAGTGGGAAAGAAATCCATAAATGACCAGGAGAATTACCTGCCCTGCACGGTGGAGCCTGTGTTTGGGAAGTAAGTGTTGGTTCTGTTTGGGATCCATAGGAGTTTTCTTGTCCTATGGAGGAAGTTGAGAGGTCACAGGGCATGAACAATGACCCCTTGGTCATGGGTGAGTTCAAGGTGGGATGGTGTCTCTCTACCTGCTTCCTGCCCATGGCATGGGGTGGAATCAGATGGGATTTAAGGTCCTTCCAACCCAAACCATTCCATGATTTTTCAAATTGTAGTAGTTGTGGCTGCTCCATCTCTGGGAATGTTCCAGGCCAGGTTGGATGGGGCTTGGAGCCAACTGGGCTGGTGGGAGGTGTGTCCCTGGGTGGGACTGGATGGGATTTAAGGTCCTCCCAACCCAACCCATTCCATGATTCTGGAGGTCCAGATGGGATGTGTGGGATGTGTCCCTGCCCAGTGCAGGGGGTGGAATGGGATGACCTTCAAGGTCCTTTCATCCCAAACCATCCCATGATTCTATGCTGAACTGAGCCAGTACAACAGAGCACTGGTAGAACTGGATCCAGATGCCACATGCAGTGGGTGAAGGGTCTGCCCGAGCACTGGGCGATTGGGATGGTGTGTGGATCTGTGCTGGTTTGAAAAGCAAACCGGTGAGAGACTCTGAATCAGAAGTACAATTTAATATGAACAACACAACAAAACAACACAAATGCAACAGTACAAAAAAAAAGTAACCTGACAGAGTCAGAAAATAACCTGACAGAGTCAGAAAGTAACCTGACACCCTGTCAGTCAGGGTGTAGTAGTAGTCCGATTAAATGGTGGCTGTAGTCCTCCTGGAGTGATGGTTCTGTTGGAGCAGTGATACTCTAGAGATGGGCTTCACCTTAAGGGCCAGGGG